AGTGGCCACTGCTTCATGACACAGTACTTCGGTACAGGTTTCAGTTCGATCTCATGCCGAGTACCTTTGTCCTTGGGCAGCTTGCATGGCACGAATTCAGGCAAAACATCCCTGAATTTGACTAAATTCTTTTTCAAAGGATTTGGCTTCATAGACTCTCAAGACTGAGACGTGTATCGCTCAATTATGGGTCTTCTCATCGAGGACACTCTCAACCATCGATGAATTACTGAGAATCCGTTCGTTGTCTGTAAACACTTGTGCAAACCGAATATTGGCGACGCACTCGTCCTCTGTGACGAGTACGCAGGTCTGCTCGATCTTGTCCCTACGCAGATCTCGCAAGAATCTTTAAGATTCTAGCGTTGGCAACTTATTTACCTTCGAGGCTGACTTCGGAGGTGTAACTAGATCAAGTGTATAAGCGCCTACACTTGATCCGTCATTCACCATGACATTAACTGTCTCGGTGATTTCCTGGAAAACACATTTGCAGGTGGTTCGGGATCCACACCCTCAACATTACCATCTCGGGAGTTATCACTCTCAGGAACGCTGTAACTTTCTTTAATTATGTGTACTGACTGTTGATTTTTACCTCAGTCACATCCTCTTCGATCGACTCTCTTTCAGTCGAGCGGGCTTGCTTTACGATCGACTCTCTGATAGTCGATCTTGCTTCAACGTGTTGTTTATCCTGAACAAAACTGACATCTCTTCTTTTCCCCCCCTTCTTGGTGTGCATCCGTGTTTTAGTCCACTCGATCTCTTCGAGTGGTGAACCTTCGGCGCAGCCTGTGTCTCTACACAGGTACCGGAAGCTGGTTCCACAGTGAAGTGGCCTTCTACACTGTAATCTTGTGCAATCTTACTAACGACCGTACCACAAGTGAGGCCATCGCACTCACTCGTAGTACATCCGCACGCTTGTGGACGCTCCAAGACGATCATCAGATGGCCATCCGATGAACACACGGCAGGCATCTTCACGGATCGATACTTCCAGCTACCCTATGGCTGTTACTTTCTAAGCCATGGCAGACCAAGGATGACGTCAAATTTGTCTTCTAGATCTAATACGATAAAGGCATCATCGTATTGTTTTCCTTCTAGCGTGTAGTGGATTCCCACTACACGTTTGCTCACTGTTACGGGTGCGCCTGTAGAAACACACACCGTCATCCTCGTTGGAGGAAACTCTCGCTCAACATAGTTGAGTCTACCATCCCCTAGCGACTGGCGTTGAGTAAAACTTTTCGACGCCCCACAGTCAACTAGGGCGCAAAGTGACATCACCATTGTCACCTCAATTTTCAAAGTGATGAGAGACTCCTCATCACTAGGGGCAGTAACACCAACTATGTGTCGGGAGCAATCTTTGTCAAGCGTCCTGCAAATTCTTTTGACGTTGCTGGATCAGCAGGGTGCTTCGCCCGTACTGACCCTGTCCATATTTTGGCGGTCCGACTTGCTGTCGCGGCTTAGCAACATTGTCGGACCCACGCCTTGGACCTTCCTCGGCCAACGGTGGTCATCACGTCCTGTCTTTGGAAGTGTTGCGGTGCTTGGGACACTACACTCATGAGCGTAGTGTCCAATCTTCCGGCAGCGATGGCATCTTGCCGTTCGCTTGTGACTCAGAGAGCGAGAATAATCGCTCTCGATACAGCAGAGGTCCATTAGTTCGGGACCTCCTGTTTCCTGTCGTCTCGTCGGACGATAGGTTGACGAGCTAGTTTGAGACTGTATCGGGCTGAAGTCTTCTTGTTCCGCATACGCTATCGACCTTTTCAGCGTATGGAAGTCCTCTTGGAATGTGTAGGTCTTCACCGGTCCATCTACAAGGCCGTAGATGAACACATTGATAAGCGTGTGCTCATAAACAGGGTTTTTCGTGACGCTACTCGCAAGGTAGCGCAGGTGCTGTGCATAAGCGTGCACGTCACGCTTACCTTGCTTTAGCTTCAAGAGTGCAGAGCGTGCTCTGAACTCAGCTCTCGGCGTCTCAAACGTATCTTTGAGCCGAGACTTCAAGATCTACAGCGACTCAAACCCAAACGTGTTTGAGTCGTGAAGCTTGAGCCCTAAGGCCCATGTCTTTAGTCGTCCTGTCAAATTTGACAGGGCGAAAGTGACTTGCATCTCGTCACCCTCGATTTGACGGGCCCTGATGGCGCCGTCTAACTCGACGAACCATCTCAAAAGAGAATCTTCATCGGTTTCCTTGTACCTTGAGATATCAATCTTCAAGGTTTCGGGTCGACGCAAATGCGTCGGTCCGCCCATCGACTGATGATAGCCTTGCTGCTGTAGCAAGGCTATCTTCGGTTTTTCGACGGCAAGTTCCCCTTGTAGGAACTTGTTGATAGCGGCATGTTGCTGGTCTTGGCTGATTGAGTCCAACATACCACTGATGGCGGTTCGCCCATGAGCACACTCATGCGGCCGACTACCTCCCATTCTGAGTCACTCAGATGGGAGTAGCCTTCATGTGTGACGTGAAAGCTGTTGTCTTCTACGTCTAAAACGATCATGTTGGACGGACAGTAAAAATTCGTTGAACTGACTACGAAGTGCTACCAGGTGTATCGGGGCACCCTTTGTCTGGGGTGCCACGAAACTTCACGTCTACTCGTACGTGCAGAGGAAGCTAATCTGCTCAAACAGCTAGTTTGAGTAAAGGGTAAAAAGAGAACTGCATTCAATATAGTTAAGCTATCAATATAACTTCAGTCTTTATCTAACTATATTAACCTACATTGTCGTATGACGACATCCTGCTCACCACTCATTACGCGCGTCTAGCAGCGATTGGTGGTAACCTTGGTTGATATATCTTTGTAAACCGATCTTTGAGCAGCGCATGAAAATTATCCTACAAAGGGGATAACATTCCTTCAATATTTTCCATCTCGTATAATAATGTTAAGGAATTGTCACGCTATACAATCTCCCTATTGACACCAAACGGTGTCAATATAATGCAACGGGCTACCTTGTTACATCATTAGCCTTCTTGAACAGCGTACGTGGCAAAATCGATGATGTACGCGCGAACTAGGCGCACAATTGACCGCGGTTTAATATCTACAAAGCCTCTACTTACGATTAGTGCTTAAAACGATATAACTTCTTCGCACACAGCGAATCGTGCATTCAATCAGCTCAACGCTCATCCGCTAATTAAATTGGTTAATATCGGGATAGTCAGATCCATTGGATGCAACAAGCATCATTAACTAAAGTGACACCGTGCACAATTTTGGTCGTTTACCTGAACAATTATTGGACTTGCGAGGGCATAAGGTGAGAAGAAGCATACTTGGCAGCCAAATTTAAGCAAATGACAACTTATCGCTACATGTATTACTTTGCGAATGAAAAAGGGACTAAATCTTAATAAAAGGAGTGATCTAACTATTCCGTTTAATAAGAAAATTGTCAGATTAAGCATCTTTTTGTTTTGATGCAATCTCTTTTTCTTTCGTTAGAAAGCACGTGTAATAATACGTCGTCGCTTGCTTTAATTTCACCGTAAGTCGACTTGTTGACATAACTGCCCTCGCAATTTAAAGTGTCGTTAAGACTATGGAGCATTGCCCGGTGGCCCAGCAGCCCCAACTATTGACATCACCTTTAGTCAGGGAGTTTCCATGGGAGAACGAGATGAAGGCAACGCTTTTGCTTACATGATTTGCCTATAATTGAGATAAGGGGGCAAACTCTAGAGCTCGCCCTTTGATAGAAGTAATCCAATTTGGAGAACCGAATTTAGTTGCAAACGCTGTACAACAGTAAACTGTAAAGAATTAGTACGATGATCTTTATGTCTCTAACATTAAGAGCATCGTACTAATTCTTTACTGAATACTGTTGTATAGCTTTTTGCAACTAAGGAATGTGATCAGACTTTGCTTATGAGTTTTCAATATTTGCTCATGTGACCGTATCCACCTTTGATCGGTTACAGGCCAATCACGTATGTGCACCACAATAGCGACCTAGACAAATAGTAAATTTAAACATAGCTACATGCCTATGAGGGGGGACAGGCTAGATCGCACTCAGTATGTGCAAGATACACTCATTCGCGTTATTAACAGACACACACAGACAAACGCACGTAGATAAGTACAGTTGAATAAAGTATGGCATTCATTTGCGCACTAACACTACTAGCTTTTTAACCCTTCGAGATTTCAATTATTTTTGTCTGCTGGCTGCCACTAAAGCTTCACATGACCGTCTTGTTGATTTTAGATATGTACGTTTTTGTTGTTGTAGGGTGTATTATCGTGACCTCAAAGACTTTCGATTGAAAATATAGCGATAATTTTGATATATCACTAGACGTAAAAGCTTTCTTGTAACAGGGAACCTGTGGCTTACACTGTCACAGTAAAAGTTGCTTTCACTGAATAAAGGATGATTAGGTGGCCCAAAACACACGTACACGTGTCATGCAGAGGAGGATTTCAATACTAGATAAGGGTAGAAGTAGAACTGTTATCAGTATAGTTAATCTTCTGATAATAAATCTTATTCGGTCTTCTTCTAGCTGTATCTAAATACAAACACGTGTTGTAACTATCTGCTCACCACTCATTGCGTTCTTCTTTCGTGGCTTGTACTTATTGAATAATATCTATAGTAATCAATGAACAGTGTCGTACTCTTGCATCCCATTGTTTCTTGTGAAGCTAGCATCGTAGTAATATAATGTCAGTCTTGACAATGTGTTCATGTTTGCTATTTGCATTATGTAAAGTATCAAGTAACGGAGGCACCCCGTTACCCCGCTACCATCATTCAAATCGATGAATACTTGATGATTGAGCAACTCCGATGATTGAATGTGGAACTCGAAATCACGTGTTAGTCCATTCCAATCATTCCTCAACACATCGCATGGTGTACAAGTCCATGCAGTGGCGGCCAAAGCTGCGGGGAGTAGCCACGAAAGTAGACTACCTTTTGCTGCCATAGAAGAGTCAAAGATTATGAATGAAGAAGGCAACAACCCGTTTGTTGCTATCTCTGGCCAGATCACAGCAGTCGCTGCTGTAGGTAGACGCAGTAATGCCCTACGTGACATTGGAGATTATCAGCTGAAGCTTGTATACTCTGGTGAGCCGGATGGCGACACCGACTCGAGGAAGTCAGCACCGAAGAAAGAGTCAGAAGTATTCAAGGCGGAGTAAACTATGTATTATGTGCAGAGTGCTATGAGCATCGCTGAGAGACTACATCTTTGAACCATTAAAAAGTCGAACGGTTCGTCTCCGAGATGGAGTCGTTCACTCGACAGTGATCGAGGCGGCATCTTGGGCCAGTTCAATGATGATGACGGTGATGCAGGAACACGTCACGATTAAGACGATCGTACTGGTCGTGGTGTCAGTACTTTGATTGTCACCTAAAAAGAAGCCAGAAATTGCGGCATCTTGCGCGTTGCTACTAAGAAAAAGGTGTGGATTCCTCTTAAGCGATTTGGATCACGTGTCCGAAATGTTTAGTGATCGTTATCTAACAATAACATTTTATTCATCAAGAATGCATGGTCTTGAATTAAGTGCAAGTGACTTCCGCAATGAGCATGGTTTACTAATAGAGGTTTTTACAGAAATCCATGGTACGACTGGAACCACAAACGTGACGGGTCCTCGTTGATCCAGGCATGGAACACGTTCCATTCAGAATTCAGGTAATGTTGGACGGTACTACAGACTTGGCATCTAGCCTGATTGCGCAATAGGTTTGAGAAGAAAAATTTGCCGGCGCACTTTACAAAGTGCATCGGTTAACGAGAGCGGCCAGGTTGCAATTACTCTTACAGGGCGATCCGTGCCAATGTTGCGTGAACAACATGGCACGAGCTCTAAGAAAAGCTTACTCCAGGACCTACCTCTGGTGGAGACTACGTGTATCACATAACATGTTCGTAAAAATAGCTAACTTTGTAATCCTTCTGCAAATGCGCTGGGCTCTCATTCTCTGATGGGCCTGCCACCGAATGTACCTTGTCATACTACTCAACAATACCTACCACATTTATCATCAATTGTGAGCGAGGCTCCCAACTATCTGCCAAGGGCGGATAGCTGCGCCACCAGACGAGGTAACCCGTCCGAACCCTTTCATATTGTCCTGGTTCAACAAAATTTTCCATAAGGAAGCTGGTGGAAGACGAGACACGGCACCTGACGGAAAGGGCGGAGAAGCTGTGCGGGAAAGAGACAGTGGAGAAGCTGTGCGGGAGAGAGACAGTGAAGAATCTGTGCAGGAGAGATAAAGTGTGCATCTTGCAGCTTGCAGAACGCCTGAGATAGTGAAGGGCATTTGCAAGCAGTGTGTAGTGACATCAAGAGTAGATTTTGTGAGAATCCAAACCAAGCAGTACAGTCTGAAAAACCACATCGACCGTGCACTCGTTTCTCCCTTTGCACGCGGATGCAAAGCCAAAAGGTTATGAGCACAAGTAGGGACGCCGAGTACGCGAGCGCCGTCCAACGCGCAGCGGCGGCATCGATGGCGAGGCGTCGCAACACGCAAGAGATCGCGCAGACACCTCCGGCTGGATTGAGCGACAACAGCGGAGAAGACATGCGACCCGACCTCGCGCTTGTCATGGAACAACGAGTTGCGATGGTTGCACGACTCGAGGAACTCGAGAGAGAACGACTGACGCTGCCGGCACCGACAGGAACAACGTTTGGGCCAGGCACGACCGAGACAAGAGCTCTGGTGCCAACGACGAGAGCAGCAAAAGTGTTCAGATCCCCGTCCATGCGAATGACGCATGTGAGACCCATGGAGGTTGACGACCTCCACGACGTCTTTGGGACTGAGTCCAGAGTACGCAACGCGAGCGTCAGGACGGAAAGAAGAGTGCTGCGAAAAGAGCAGCAGCAGCACTTCCAACAACTTGCGTCCGCGCGCGAAGGCCTGCGAGTCGCCGCAGAAGCCCAAGGCATGCAGTTGCGAGCAGTGGAAGAAGCACAAGAGACACATAAAGCGGATCACGAGCTGCTATCCAAGCTGCGCACGGACAACTACAGCAGGTTGAACGGCACCTGCTGAGCGAAGCAGAGCTCCAGGACAAAGAAAAGCGCTGGCAACGCAGCTGGAAGCTCAAGGGCGCGAATTCGTGCAATTTTGAGCACGTCTGAAATCGGAGCGAGACGAGCTTGCACTACAACACGACCAGCAGACCCGCGCAGCATAAGAGAGAAAAAAGAGTCTCTTCCGGCACAAGCAAGATGTCTCACGCGAGAAGAACCGGCGACGCGAGTTAGAAATCGAGCTTGCCGAGCAAGTGAGAGCGGCAGGAGAAGCGCATCGTGCACGTGAAATGGTGCTAGCGGAGCAAGGGCGGTGCGTGAAAAAGAGCAGCAGACGCGCAAGGCGAGGCTTGGAGAAAAAGCCAGACGTGTCAACCTGGACCAAGCAAATGCGTGTCGCGTGTGGCAGTATGCGCAGTATGCGCAGCACAACGCTGCAGACGTCGAGCGTCGCGTGCGTGAGGCGGAAGAACGAGTTTATGCGATAGCGACGCAGGAAGCCTCATCACGCTTCACTGCGTCCCGCGAAGTGGTTGAAAGCGTAGCAGTGGCACGCGATGAGATGAACCGAGCAGCCTCTCAAGCGACTCTGCAGCAGCCAGGCGTATTTGCGCCGACTGGAGGAGCGCTCGTCAGCGGATCGACTTGTGTGCCATCGGCGAAGGATGCGAAGCTCGACATTTGCGTGTTCACTGGCAACGAGCTCCACAAGGTATTGAGTGGAGGGTTCAAGCACTGGGGCCGCGCGTGCAGGGAAGAGCTCGAAATGGCTGAAGAGGAGTGTGGCTACGCGTGGCCGGAGAAGTATAAAATCAGCAAGCTTGGCGCGTGTCTCCAAGTAGAAGCTGGTGGGTTCTTCCATAAACTCAGGGACGAGTGGTGGGACACGGACAGAACGCTTTCTTACGCAAAGGAGGAGATAAAATAGGCCTTCTCGCGCAGCTTCACCAGCGCACAAGTGTCCGCGTTCTTTAACAGGCGCAAAAGCAGCAGCGACACCTGGCATGCACACTACCTCTACCTCATGGCGGTGAGAAATGCCCCGGGTGCGTCGGCGTCATTGTTACCGTAAAGTCTCGTTTTTCATGCCAGCCCGGAGCTGCGACCTGTCCTCGCAAGCCAATACGACCGAAAGCGCACCGACTTTGTGATTCACGCGCTTGAAATCACACACTGGGCGCAAAGTTATGAGGGCAATGAGAAACGGGCGCCTTGGCCAGTTAAATCTGCAGTAGCAGCAGCGACCGCCCACGCACGCACGGACACCAGGGTGTGCAACATCTGTATCACAGTCGGGCACGTTGCGCGCATGTGTCTCAGTCGTCCAGAGAACGAAGTCGACGAAGAGACGACTCGATTGGCGCTTGCTGGACTCGTAGCAGGTTGCCTAACGGAGGAGGACTGGATTGTCGACTCCGGCGCCAGCACCCACCTCGTCAAACACAGCTGGATGCTGTATGATTGGGAGGAGTGCGACGACCCCAATGGCGTGACGCTGCCTGACAAAAGTACGCTGCGGGTGACGCGACGCGGCAAAGCGCGACTGCGCGTGAAGGTGGACAGCGAGGCGTACTGGATCGAGCTGCGCAACTTCAACTACGCGCCGAAGCTGGCCATTAACCTCATCTCCCTCGGCACACTCATGCTACAGGGCTGCCGCCTCGCCAACAAAAACAACAGACACGCAGTGATGATCGACGACGACGTCGTGATGTACTTCCAGATCAAACAGAATGTCCTTATCGTCTAATGTGGGCACGTGAAGCAACGAGCAAGCGGGTTAAAGGACGTGATCATGCACGCGATCGTCGAGTCGCAGCGCCGAGAGGCAACAGTACAGACAAGGAGCTTGATGAGCTTCCACAGGAGCTTTGGCCACCTGAATTACGAAGCTATTGAGCGAATCGTCGCGAATCCTGCGAACGGACTCGAGCTCACTGACAAAGTGAGGGAAAATTGCTTGACACGCTCCGAAGGCAAACAGTCCAATCGGTACAGCCCAAGAAGAATAGCGGTCTTAACGCGCCGATTGACGTGGTCGGTGGTGTCATTTGCGGTGAACTTAATGACCCCATCACGCCCATTGACAAGCGGAAAAACCGATACTTTATTAATTTTATCGACCACAAATCCAATTGCGAGTGTGTAATTGTCACAAAGTCCAAGGACGAAGCCGCACGAAAGTTCCAGCAATTAATCGTCTTTTTTAGAAGACAGTTTAACGTGCGATTTCGCATGTTGCGGACGGATGGAGGAGGCGAGTACCGCAACCTCGACCTCTTCTGTCAGCAGACGGGCATTGGCAGGCAAATTACTGAGCGCAACACGTCGGCATCGAACGGAAAGGCCAAAAGAATGCATCTGACCGTCATGAATATGGTTCGGTGCATGCTCTTCGGTTGTGGCCTTCCGCTTAGCTACTGGGGATACGCCACGGAATGCGCAGCGTACGTGTGAACAGGATGCCGACTCGCGCCGATCCAGACCGCAAATCGCCTCTGAAGCTGCTCACGAAGAAGTTATTGAGTGTCATGGACGTGGTGGTTTTTGGCTCGCCTTGCAAAGTGCACCAGAACCCACTAAACGCATCCCTGGGAAATCGTGAAGCGCTAGGGATCATTGCCGGAAATATGAAGAAACCAAGGGGTACAAGGTACTGATTCCCGGAAAGCAGGTCGTGGTGACTACTCGACACGTGTACCAGATCGAAACCCTGACAACTGACGCCAACAAGTAGCTGAGGCAGGCGCTCGAGTCAGAATTTGACGATGAACTCGAGCAAATATCAAATGAATGAGAAGAAAGTAGACGACGGGAGGAGTCGAACGGCGAGCGCCCAGGCGAACGAGCTGCCGCACGAACCGCGTCGAAACCGACAACGACGGATCCGACGCAGAAACATACGCGCGCAGAACGCGACAAGGAGCCAAAGTTGAAGTCTAATGCGAACAGAAAAGCAAAGCCTCGGAACACACAGACGCAGAGGAAAAAGTAATAGATGCAGATGACGACGATAGAAAAAGGATTCCGCGCAGGTCTGGACGTGAGAACGAAGTCGGCAAAGCAGAAGGCAGCCAACGATGCAAAAGGCCCAGCGCGACGCAGATTGCGCGAGCCATTTGTTGCAGCGACGCTATTTCAATCGGTTTTGATGTCCGCATTAAGGGCGGGGGAGGAGCAGTACACAAAATTGCCCGACCCAAAGACGTACAAGGCGTCGCGCGCACTTCCAGACGCGCCTCTGGGCCTAGGCGATGGACGACGAGATCGCCTTGCTGGAAACAAAAAACACGTGGCAGGTGATCAAAAGCGAAATGCACATGCACGTGCTCCGCAACAAGTGGGATCTCAAAAAGAAGATGTACAGCAGCGGGTCCATCGAGTGCTACAAGGCAAGACTTGTAGCAGGAGGCGACGATCAAGTGCTTGGTCGAGACTACAACCTGACATTTTCAGCTGTCTTGGACATAACTAGCGGCAAGATCATTCTCGCGGTTGAACGGCTCTGGAAAGTGCGCGCGCGACACTTTGACGTCCCGATCTCCTACCTGGAGGCCTAAAAGGAGGCAGAGATCGAGATTTACATGCGCATTCCAGAAGGAATGACGATCTGTGACGATCAGCTGCGGAAGCTCAACAAGGCGAACGCCGACGAGACGTGCCTGTGGCTCATCAAAAGCCTTTACGGGCTCAAGCAGGCCGGCCGACTGTAGAACCAGTTACTCGATCAAACGCTGAATGACGCCGGTTTCTCACATCCAGCCACGGACGCATGTGTTTACATGAAGACAACAGCTAAAGGAACGACAGTAGTGGGAGTGTCAGTCGACGACCTGCTTGTAATCGTGACAAGCGACGAGCTGCTTGACGCCATTGGCGCGGCGATGCAGATCCTGGAGCTTAAGTGCCTCAGGAGCGTCAAGAACTCGCTGGGCATGCGAATCGGGTACGGCGACTTGCACGGGTACACCGTTGACCGAGAGAAAATGATCACCAAACTGCTTCACAAGAACCGTCTGGAGAAGGCGAACGCAGTGCGCTCACCAGTAAGTGACGAAGCGTCGATCGATTCAGAGAGCACCGACGCGCAGCCGCGTCCCGCGCTAAGAGACGGCACTGCAGAATAAACGACGATGAAGATTTTCCAGAGCCTTGTCGGGAGCCTGCTGTGGGTCGCACGATGCAGTCGACCCGACATCGCGCACGCGGTGCACCGCGCGACACGCCGCAGCCACGCGCCCAGAGACCACGACATGAAGCTCGCGCGTAGAGTACTGAGGTACCTCGCTGGCATGGCTGCACTGAAGCTGTACATAGGCGGCGAGGCGATTGCCAATGAATTGAAACTCACTTGCTGCGCCGACGCGGATTACGCGGCCGATAAGTCACGCGAAAGCCGATCAGCGGTGCGGTGCTGCTCGTCGACGGGATGACCATCGGATGGCAAGTCAAGCAACAGTCCTCAGTCGCGCTATCAACTGCGGAAGCCGAGTTCGTGGCAGCAGCTGTTGGTGCGAAGGAGCTCCTTGGCGTAAAAAAATTACTGCGTCAGATGAACGTGAGTGTGAAGTTGACGATGCAGATGATGGTGGACAACCAAGCTGCTATCAAGCAGATCGATAACGATGCCACGTCGAGCGCACAGAAGCACGTCGACGTGAAACTGAAGTTTGTGCGCGACGAGAGCTTTAAGGTCATCGTGAAGCCCGAGTACATTGCGACCAACGAGATGATCGCGGATCGATTGACGAAAAGTGTCCCGGCGCCAAGAGTCGGACCTACGTGATATGATGGGATTGCGGTAATTGCGATGCCGCGGGAGGAGTGTTAGAAGACGAGGCACGGCACCTGACGGAAAGGGTGGAGAAGCTGTGCGGGAGAGAAACAGCGGAGACAGAGTGCAGCTTGCAGAACTCATGAGATAGTGAAGGGCATTTGCACGCAGCGTTTAGTGAGATTAAGAGTAGATTTTGTGAGAATCTAAACTACACAATATAGTCTGGAAAACCACATCGACCGCGCACTCGACAATATAGTCTGGAAAACCACATCGACCGCGCACTCGTTTCTCCATTTGCACGCGAATGCAAAGCCAAAGAAGCGTTGGTCGTCTGCGTTTAATAGCTAATGGATGAGGTGAAGGAGAAAACACACCCTCCGACGAATTTGCAGATTGAGCTTGATGTTATGAGTCCGAAGTACTGCGTAATGTGTGATTTGTGCGAGTACCTCGAACACGAGAGAGGCAGGCGTCTGGATTTTCCTGTCAGTGTGAACATGCTGCGCTCATATCGGGAGGAGGACAGAACAGAGTAAAAATTGTTTAGATTGCTTTAAAAAACAGCTGGCTCTTTTCGATGAGCTAGGGTAAGCTCGTCAGGATATATCTTGTCTCCGCGGGGATATATCTGAGCTTCGGACAATGGCTGATAGTTAGCACCACGAGACAAGTATCTTTTTGCGGTGCATTCACACAAGGGCCTCTTTTAACCAAAAGAATCCCCGTACTGGTAGTACTTCCTAAGGCGACCGACGTATAATGTAGGATGCTCGCACATATTGCATGGCAGGTTAACCGTATATGCATTGCATAGGTGGCACAGCACAAGAAATGGATCAACAAATTTGGGTATTGTCTTGTTACCATTAACTAAATTCACCATGTGTCGTGTTAGATTTACTGTAGACAGTAGGACTTAGTCTACTTTATTAAATAAAAGAAACTTTGCGCTTCTATTCGTGTCATAATTTCATTTTTGTCGATCTTACGATTCTGCGGTAGAGTCTTGTAACAAACGGACAACCGCTTTGCAATCCAGTGTGAATTCTTTTGCTAACTTGCTGTCTTTAGCTTAGTGCCCTTGGATTATACACAGCAACATCACTCTTTGCCTCCTTCAGCGTAGCTTCGGACGAACTAGGCGTGATGCTGTTACGATCAGTGTTGTGGTAAGTAAGACCTCCACGCTCTTGATATCCACATTTTCTCCAGAGACGATGTGATCGATATCGGCGTTGAACGTGGTGACCTCATGGTCAGCATATGGTGCGTAAGAGCCAGATTGAAGTTTGCTTGAATTATTATCTACCCCAACTTAGCCGAGGAACACTCTACAAGTTTTAAAAATTGTAAATGGCGTAAGCCATTCACGAAGAACGGCGTGTGCGTCGTCGACGCATGGACTGAGATGTTGATTACAAACTCCACCACCGACAGTAATCTGCTTGAATTAGGATAAAATTGGATGTACCCTAAAAAGAATCTTCTCAATGCCATCATTGGCGTGTTCTATATGACCATCTTTTTCAGGTTGTTCCGATGATAAACATCTTTTACCTGCATTCCGAGTGTTTCTAACAAGCAACACCAGACCCAGCTGTAAACCGCTGGTCCTGATCGGACATGAGGTAATGAGGCAACCGATGATGATGAAACACCATGTAGGTAAAGACGCGAGCACAATTCGATGCGTTGATAGATTCAGGTAAAGCAACTATATGTACCATCTTTCTGAGTCTGTCAATGAGCTCAATAATACCAGTATTTTTGTGAGGGCCTGCGGGTGATTCGAAGCCTAAGTCCATTAAAACAGAATCTCACCATTCTTATCGGACAAGCAGATGCTGCAACGTAGCACAAAGGGAAGGAGTGAACTTCACATTTTGCCAAAAAAATACCGTCTCGAACGTACTTGCACAAGAACTGATATTGACGCAGCCATTGAAAGGCGCGGCTCACGGTGAGATAAGTCTTCTCAAGTTCACGATTTCCGCCAACAGGTGCGTCGTTTTACTCAAATATACATGATACGCAATCGCGGATCACCATAATTTAATACGATAGCGCGAGGCGCATCGCCAGCAACAGCTGGGTGTTGGAGTAAGCCGTTGTGAGGTGTATATCTATTCGTAGAGGACAGATATGCTGTCAATAAACGTTTAGGATGTTCTCGGATAAGAATGACAGACGATGCATCAAACTCAACATCTCTATATCACACGCCTTTCGTATGTCTTCCAATAACGTTGACGATGGGACAACCCAAGTCAATACCGTTGCAGTGTTCGGGTCAGTTACGGGTGGCGCAGCTGTCTCAAAATAGGGCCGGTGCGAGATGCGTCAGTGACGACATTGAATTGTCCTACATTATACTAGACGGTAAAGTTAGACTCCGCGGAGAGTTACAGCTAATTCTCCATCCGTGCAAGGGGTGTGAACTGTTTGCGGTCGTGCGTAAAGATGCACGGGTCCATGTAGACAATTAAGGGTCTATCGAAGAGCATATAGTCGGTGATTTTTCTCAAACGTACTTCATGGAAAGTAGTTTCTTGTCATGGACGGGGTATTTGTGTTCTGCTGGTTGTAGATGGCGTGACAAAACTAGCCATCCCCCAAAAAATACCGCTTGGTGCTCACTTTGGTATAATTAATGATGTAGGGATGTGATAGGATCCTTCCATCAGATGTATTTTGATTTTAAAGTACTCTTCACGATACCATCGATGATGATGTTTTCCTTGTTATTGCCGTTCGAGCCGGTTCAGTTGCAGCATTCAACTTGTTGAAGGTATATTGTAATCGCCATCATCATGCGGCTTTCTGCACATAGAATGTCATAGAGCTATGTGGGTAGGTCGAATCTCTCACATGGCTGGATGCGAACGATCTGCAAAGATATTGTCGATCTATAGTACATGTTTAAAAAGGCAGTCGTCATTGATTCATGACACAATACTTCAGACCAAATTTCCGGTCGACTTTTTGATGAGTATCTTTGTCATTATGTGACTCGAACGGCATTAAATCTGGAAAGACATCCGTAAGTTCAGTCAAATTATTGTAGAGAGGATTTGCTTTTGGTAATTCCCACAAATGGAATTACATCGCTCAATCAGATTCTTTTTACCGAGGCAACTCTCGTCCATTGACGAGATACTGAGAGTTCATTTATTCTCAGCAAAAACTATTGCCTATTGTAAATTACTGAAGTAATCATCTTCTCTGATGAGTGCGCAGATCTTCTTCAAAGTTCAGGGACTTTGCCACTACGCAGGTCACGTAAGAACCTCTTTAGGTTCATCGGGGTAATCGAGTGATCTTTGAAGCTGACTCCAAAGTAACAATCAGGTCAAGGCTTTAACTACTTATGCTTGATCCGTCACTCACTAGGATTCAATGTCTCTTTCATCTCACGGAAAATCATTTCCACAGTCTATTTGGGGTTATTTTCTCAGCTCTAGGCTATTCGGTTAGCTCATCTCCGTAATCGATAATTGATGAAGATGAGTGCTTACTTTCAGGGTGTTGTCTACTAAGGCCTTACCCGTGTCTCGGTCCGATCGACTTATTCGAGTGATGAGTTTTTGGCGCTTCTTTCATTGCATGCAGTCACGCAAACTTGTTTTACGATGTAATTATTATTCACATTGTAATCGTGCGTAGTCGTTTTGACGAAAGAACCACACTTGAGGCCATCGAACTCACTCGTAGTATATTTACATGATGGGGGGCGCTCCAAGTCGTTCATTAGATGGCCGTCTGGTGAACAAGCGGTAGTTATACCGACTGTTAATCGAGGCCAGCTGACTTGTGGCTCATCACGTCTTGTCCATGGTAAATCAAAGATAACATCAAGCTTGTCATCCAAGTCAAGTGGGATGGAGTTATCGTCACATTGGACTTCTTCCAGTGTACAGTTAACTTGCGCTACACGTTTCATCACCGTTACGAATGCACCTGTCACGAGGCTTACTGTCACACTCGTTGGAGCTATCTCTCGCTCAATAAATTTCAGCTTGCTATCGTCTAGCGATTGGCGTTGTAACAAGTTGTTTGAAGCCTCACAATCAGCTTGAACTTGTAGTGACAATTCCTTTACAACTTTGGGCTACAAGGTAATAAGTTAGACCTCATAACTAGATGCAATAACACACAATGATTGAGTAATGGGAGCAATTTTCGTCAAGAAGCCTTCAAAGTTACTTGGCGTTGCTGGATTAGTAGGGTGCTCTTTGCCTACTGAGCCTGGCCTATTATGGTCGTCCATTAAGGTGTTGCTTTCTTGAAACAGCGTCGGACCCACGCCTCGGACTCTTCTTGTCCGCTAGACGGTACCTGTTTCTTTTGGTACGTGGTACCGCATTCGGGGCACTGCATTCGTATAAATAATGCCCTAATTTTGACATTTCTTGTATGTCTGCGATTTTTTATAATTGGTAACGCCAGAGCTTTTACTCTTTGCGTAACAGAGGTCTATCGGTTGCGGGCCTCCACTTTCCTATCGCCTCGGGGGACTAAACGATTCTAATTTACGTGAGCTTGTCTCATGCTGAAATCGTTTTGTTCCGCAGCTCGGCTTTCCTCTTTCAGAGTATGAAATTTTAACTGGAAGATATTAGACTTATCTGGACCGTCTGCGAGACCATGCAAAAAAATGTGATCGACGTTTGTTCATTCGGCGCATTGGAAGTGATACATCTTGTAAGATGACGTGTGTACTGAATGTATGATTGTAGATGAATTGTTCATTGTTTAAGATTCAAGAGCTTCGAGCGAGCCCTGGACTCAGCTCGAGGTGACTCAAATACTGGGCTGAACCGGGACTTGAACCTTTAACAACCTTTAGACATATAATTTGCGAAGATTGATTTCCAAGACCCAAGTCTCGCACGCCGTGCCAAGTTTATTTAGTCAAATGCGACCTGCAATTGTTGGTCGGCAATGTGACAATTTCTTATGGCGTCACACAGTTCAACAAAGTATTTTAATAGATAGTATTTATCAGC